AAAAAAAAACACACGGGCTGTGTCTTCCTTTAGTACATATGGAGACAAGGAGCGCTGGGAGGTTTCATAGGCTCCAAGGCAGACCAGTTTTAACACCCACCCACCATCTGTCCCATTCTCTTTGCCAAGCCACTGGTAATCTTTAGATGTTAACGCCTAAAGCCCAAACTGAGGGATCAAGGCCGCCGGCTGGGGCCCGGGGGGCCTACACAGGTACAAGTGGAAATCCTTCTTCCCAGCTTCAATGGGCAAAATCTACAGCTGTGTTAGGCACAGCTGTCTGGTCACCAAGCACATTCCTACCGATGGAAACCAACTGAAGGTAAACCGCAGAAGTCCTCCAGGAAGGACAACCTTCTCCTCTCTCTGGTGAGTAAACAGAGACCACCCTTGGAGGGGAGCACTGACCACAGAACCGTCCGTTACCGGTTACGGCAAAGAAGCTATCCAGTAAGGTGGTCCGTTACTGTTGATGGCTGGCCAGGATCAGTTCTGTTGGCAACCAGAGGAGTTCACAATGATTCTACCTCATTTTTAGAGAAGTTAATCTCGAATCTCTGCACTTTTAGTAAAACTGACAAAGTTCACTAGTGTCGTGTTCCTTAATTCCCTTTGTGTTTTAAGAACTGCGTGATTTAAAATTATTCAAAATCCTAATAATGTCAGCGACTTTACGTTCATACGAATGATGGGACAGGAAAATAAAGTTTTAAAGATCCGAAGCAATTGTACACTGAAAAATAAATGATGAAAAAGGACAAGGCTATCTGGCAAGAGGGTTCAGCTCATTCATTCAAGGTACTCCTAAGGAGAATACATATACAACTATAGGCCTATTCGATTTTCTCCTAAAAATAAATATACATACGTAAAAAGCGATTGTAATCAAACCTTTTCCATACTGATATTCTGTATTCTACCTAGGATGGATTCCCAGATCTCCGCACTGTGAAAATTCAGTGGCCAAGCCGCTGAGCAGTGCGCCACTGCTCAGAAAGACTAGGAGGCCCGTCTTCACCCAGAAGGCCTCTTGGGAGGAGTCTGTTGTCACCGATAACTTCCCCCACCTCACATCCACCCCACTTTATAACCCTAAAGATTTATTAGCTTAGAATAAATTCCCAGTTACCACCCGTAAAGCAAATACGGGGGCCACTGCATTGCTACTGGATTTTGCTTCCCTCATAGCACCAACTACTTAATTATGGTCGCAGCTCTAAGAGTCGGTTGACAGAAATCCTACACGCAGTTTCCTAGTGCATCTTACGTCTTTGGTGTGGGGCAGGCAAAAGGGTCTGCAGCATGTGATTGTCTCAAAGAACATCTTAAAGACAACCTGGCTGACCTGCTGTTCGGAGCGCCCACGTGAAAACGGTAAACCACAACTCCTTCTGCCAACCGTCTCCCAACTTCGGAGGATCATGATGAATCTATGTGACTTTCCGCCACATCACTGAAGACTCACAACATACATACAAACGTCACAGCAAAAAGAAAAGAAGACGGAATAGGACAGAAGAGAAAGGTCTCTAAGTGCCCCCAAACGAAAATGTCAAAAACTCCTGAGATATGAGCCTCCGTTTTGATTGTGCTCAATGACTTGAATTTTGAAAGAAAGAATAAGCTTGCAAAGAGAGTAAGACTTCACACAAAATCATTTAACACTAAGTTCACGAATCACCCTTTCGAAGCATCTGTTTCAAACACATTGCAAACTCTAGCTTGGAATCAGGAGTCATTCTCAAAATTCTTTTCAATAAAACCAAGATTTCAGATTCCTGCTGGGTACATAAGATAATTTATTTTCTGGGAAAAACTACCTAAAATCTATCCAGTAGGATTATTGCACAGTGGGGCCCACAGGACAATGATTTCCAAGGGCTAGTCCTCATATAAAAAAAGGCCACAATAAATACATCTATCTACTATGCCCCACTCTACCTTGACACGGTAAACACAAATGTGACGCCGCCTGCTTTAAAAAAGAAACTCCTGAGGAAAGAAAGGGATGGAAATCTCTACCAAGGCCACTTGAGTCAGAAACTGCCATTACTATTTCCATTGCCGTAAAGGCCACTCACCAAACAGGCTGACCATTCCAAGCACCAAGATGAACCAGCGACAAGGTTATCACACTTCACGATATCTCACTCCGATCGCGGCTCACACTGAGCTTTGGAAGCACTTCCCAGTAGATGAGCTTAGAAAGGAAATGAACTGCAGGCAAATCAACCCCTTAGCAGAAGTTCATTGTTGGTCGCTAAGGGTTGAGGTGAGATCAGTAAGATGCTCGCAAACCCACTCTCTAGTAAATTCCAGCGTTTAGGCCATTATTTTTCACTCCCAGTCCTTGAAACATCACCAAACATTTGCAAACAGAATTACACGCTTTTCCCTTTTCTGTCTGGGTAGCACCACGTTCCATTCTGATGTTGATTCCCCCCCCACCCCAAAATACTTGGCAATCCATGCAGCAGCCTGTCGCGCACAGAGCAGCCCAAGTTTTAAATCCTCCCAACTCACCCCATAAAACTGCCAAATCCTAACCACACAAATAAAAACATACCACTCTAGGAGAGATCACTCAATTATTCTTCAACTTCCTCTTATAACTGATGCACCACCAATACACAGAGCACTAAGTGTAATTCCAAACACCACACCATGTGATCAAGTTTGTAAATGGACAATTGAGCCAACAAGCCATACCCTGCCTACAGCACAGACACAGCCAAAGTGGGAAGGTGATCTGCTTTCAGCTGCATGGGGGGTAGGGTTTCTCATGGCTTCTGCTTTTTAAAGCACTCACTCTCATTCTAAAATGGTATGCTATACACAAAACCATCAATTTTATTCCAGAATACATCATCTTGATAATAAAAAGCTTTTGTATGCACATACTGCCAATACATTTAAAAGGCCCAAATTTTAACAAATAGAATAGACAAATTCATCAGACAAGAGATAAGTTACTTTGGCCGAAAAAAATCTTTAAAAAAAATCTGGCTCAACATTCTGCTTGCAGGTCTCTACATATACTGTGTACGTGGTGAGTGAAAGAGAGAGAGAGAGAGAGAGAGAGAGAGAGAGAGAGCGCGTGTGTGTTGTGTGTCTATAGCTTTTTTTTTTTTTTTTTTTTTTTTTTTTTTTTTTTTTTTAAGGGAATGGAGGATGGTTTAGCCCACTTTTCCTTGGTTATGTAGGAACTACAATGTTCTTTGCGAGCAAGACAAGAAGTGCAAGGTCTGCATTTCCACCAACTCGATGCAAAGCCCCAAGAGCTTCCTGCAAAGTGAAGCCGGCACGGAGAATCCGGTCAATGTCTGCAGCAGGAAAAATCAGTGGTGGAAGAATGGAGGGACTTGGTGATGGGTGGCTGGTGGGCGGTTCAAAGTCAACAAGTGGCCCTGCAGCTTCAGGACAGACATCCTGTCGTGTCTCAGGCCTGTCTGTCACCGGATTCTGTGAGCCCTGGTCCAGATCTTCAACCAACGTGAAACTGGACCAGGACTTCGTTTGCTCAGAAGTGGGACTGACACCATCCTCCTCACCTGCTGAAAGTTTGGGTGAGATTTCTACACCTAAGGTGCAGTGTAATTGATCAGACGTTTTTGCTGAGGCTAGAGCGTCAGAACTGCTCTTGTTCTCGGATTCCCTAGACTCGGGGACACTTTCCTTATCAGTTACTAGGCCATCACCTGGATCCCTGACATTAATATTTTCTACATCTTCTACTCCAGCACCATTTGAAGTGTCTGTTAACTTTTCTGCCCTCACCGATACAGTTATGGTCTGATGAAAGGAGACTTGTGAACGCTCTTCGTTCTGGGTAACTAGAACATGCTCACTTTGGGTCCATCTTTCAGAAAGGTCCTTCACACCTGTTTGGCCCTCAGTTACCATTTCCGATTGACAGATAACTTCTTCAGATGTATTTTCTGAAGCTGGTTTACTACTAATGACCAAAAGTTCATGGAGTTCCTTCAAGGCTGCTGTTAGAGATGAGCAGGATTCCTCTGCTGACTCCACAGAAGGCTGACAACTGCCACAGAGACTTAAAGACAGGGAGCAATCCCCATCTTCTTTATTTGTTCCAGACATTTCAACGTTATTGTCTGGGAGTTGTAAATCCTGAGTGCAAATTGAATTACTCAAAATTTCGGATGAAGGATTACATTTTGAGGTTTCTACTTCCATCAGGGGATTATCTAAGGTGAGATCGGGTGCACCGATGTTCTTGACATTGGCATTCTGACCATCCGCTGAGTTAGGCACAGCCACTAGGGACTCTTCAACTGTATCCACTTCCATGAGTGTTTCTGAATGGGGGCAGCCAAAGCATCCGGAAGGTAGAATATTTTCCTCTGTACCTGGAAGGTCCACATTCTGCTGTAGCCTGTCTTCTTTCATTGTAGCTTCTAAATCAACACTTCTTTGTGGATTCTGTTGCCTTTCTCCAAGAAGTTCAAAGTTCTCTGTGTTACAGAGATGTTCCTGTTCTTGGTCATGTAGAGCATTCTGTTGTACAACCTCATGCTGTTCATTCCCTGGTTCTTTGTGCTGCTGAAGGCCATTCCCTTGACTCGGGTTCTGACTTTCTGGATGCCAACCCTTTTCACCTAGAAACCCCGGTGGTTCTTGCACACTAGTAGTCGTGACAGATAAACTAGCTTGCTGTCTTGTGTGGAGAGGAGATCTGAGGCCCTGGGTGCTTCTTTCAGCAGATTTCGCCATATTCTCTGCAACAATGGCTTCTTCGGATGAATTCTGCAGAGGCATGGCTGGAGCGCTGTCTGCTGAAGAAGCACAATCAGAAAGATCCTGTGGAGGAAGATGTTCTTTCTTTTCAGAGGTTATCTGGAATTCAGCGGAAGCCTTCAAAGCCTTTAGAGCTTTAGGTTCAATGCTGTCAGGGTCACTGGGCTCGACAGGGCAGCCTGAAGCAGAGACAGAGTGAGCAAGACTCATAGGATTACCAATCTCAGGACTCTGTCCTGAAGGATGGGCTGGATGGTTAAATCCATCTGAAGTTGGTAAGGATGACATTCCCAGTGAGGTAGTTTCTTTACCACTTTTCTCTACATGGAACAAAAGGGAAAGGAAAAGAGATTAATTAGCAGGTTACAAAGGCCAATCACTTCTCAGATGATACAAATCTCAACAGGACAGAACAAAATCAGGTCCTTAAACTTGGGTTTGTCTTAAACTGATACTTATACGAGAACCATTCTCACTGGGGTAGACAATTCAACATCACAGCATCAGAATAAGAGATAGGCACGTTCTTAACAAAACATGTACACTGTAATTCAGTATTTTTCTTTAAGTACCATTAATAAACACCCACATAATGGCTGCGTTAGTGCTCAAGACTGAAGGACATTCATGTATCTTTATTCTCCGTGGGTCCGACCCTCTTAGAAGAGTTTCTCCGAGTGTGTTCTATCACTTGCCCTGAAATCCTGTTTGCTAAGCATGCACACTCTGGGGCACCATCGCTGGGAGTAAACCCATGGGTCTGCACTTTCAAAAAGCTCCTCAGGTGGTTCTGAAGCATGTTACAGATTTTGAGGATCTCTGCACTAGAGTGATCCTCACATCAATGCACTTTTAGCATTTCAAACGACAAGACTAAAACCAGTTATATCTGGAACAGAGTGGGAATTATAAAGAGAAAGGAGAATATGCTTGGCATTCTCTAGGAGACAGAGAAACAAATATTCTATTTAATTCATTTCTATCCAAACTCCCATGATCCAAATCATGAGATAGCTGTCTGAGCAAGGACTCAAAGCACAAAAATAAAGGTAAAGAGCAAACACATTAGATCCAATCATCACCTTGCCAAATACGGCAACCTTAGAAAGGTTTATCAGTTACTTTATCACATTAACATAGTACAACTAAGTGAGGACACCGAAGTCTTTTAGGGCAGGGAAAGGGGGTAGGGTCCTGGCAGCAAAGGTGGATGGTTCATAATAGTTTTCTGACAGGCAATGACCATTTAGACTCAATACAACTGACTGGGCACTCAAGGGTGGCAGGCTCAAACACCACCTCAAGAAGCCATTAAACGTCAATTCCAACTCTCCTTTTGCCACCGATACGAACACTGACCTCTATGCAGTGACTAGAAGATTGTTAATTAAATGCCAACGGGTGGCAGCAAAGACTACTTCACGATACAATCTCTCAGGGCAGATGCTTCTCAGACTCAAATGCTTCGTGTTGACTGCCATCCATTGTGGGGGGCTTAATCTTAAATCAGGAAGCAATCCAGATTCAAATGGCTCTAAATCATTCTAATCCAACACCGGTTAACAGCACGATGAGATAAAGCACTGACTCTGTTGGGAAGTTACTGACTTCTGGTGAAACAATATAGTTTAGAGGTCAACAGGAAAACAGCATTTGCTTCAGTGTAAATTATATCCATTAGTGTCTAGAAACACAGTTATTAGTTTTATTTATCAATCTCTAAGGCCGACTCTGAAAGAGGTTCAGTTGTGAGTGAATGAGAACAGAAAAGGTGCATCACAGTGAAATATCCAAGTTAAGTAGCACGGGGCATGTGATGATGGCCTTCGGGCACTGGCACGCCAGTTACAATCACTGTGTCAGGTCAAGGAGAACGTGGCCCCAGTGTGTGTTTTGTGCTAAGAAAGCAGCACACAGTCCTCCAAGGGCTGAGGCTTCACTGGCCTAAGTGCTGACCGTAGGGGACAGGCTCAGTACTACAGGAGAGGAGAAGAGGATGAGAACAAGGGACATTAAGAATAATTAAACCGTGCCTACTTTTACCCCATCTTTCTAAGGAAAAAGAAAAAAACGAAGAAATTAAGTGCCAGGTATCTAATCACAACCAGCCTGCAACCCCGTATGAAGCCCGAGGCTGGGAGTTGCCTTTTTTCCTCTTGATAAATCAGCCAGTAAACTCAGGCTGCCGTCTCCCAAATTTACACTCCAGGGAGACGGGAACAGAGTGTCTCCCGGGGAGACTCTGCGAGGCTAGGGAGAGAAGAGTCAAGTCTTAACTCCCGTTTCAGGGAGAATTAAACCTCAGCGCTGCCCACGTTATTGAACCTGTGCCCCCAGACAAGTTTACCTGGCCGAAGCCTCGATTTCGTCTTCAGCGGAATGAAAATTTCTTTCGGGTAGAAGTGCCCTTCTACCACTCTAGGCAGTTGTGTGCAGGGATATGAGAAAGGAACTTCCAGTTTTCCAGAAGAAACAGGCTCATGAGACCCCTAACGGTGTAGTTACCTTCAACAACAACATGCTGTGGGGCCGATATTCTTGATTTGCTCTATTCACAATGGCCAGATGGAGCTGGCTTTTACTGGGATCTCCCTCCCCTCCTTGGACTGTTCCACAACAGTTGATGAAACTATAAATAGGAAACTATACTTCGATGTGTACGCGTGCCAACATACGGATGTATATACAGGCTGGTTGTAACCAGATCAGACGAGGTGACCTGGATGGCAGAAGCTAAGTTCCAAAACTGCGGCGGACACAGAGACTTTCAGAGCACAGACGATGACCGGATGGAAGGCTGAACGTGGCGTCTATAAATACCTGGTCTGGGGCCCACTCCAGCTGCAGCACACACACACTACATGCATCATGGCTTCTGACGCTCTGTTTGAATTAGGAAACAGACAAGCAAACTTGGGTTAACAACGCAAACCACACAGCATGCAGGGTTATTGTCTCCATTCCTCTGCCGTCTTTATAATCAGGAGCTGGTAGAGTCAAAGTTGGGGAATGCTTCTGTAGTCTGGTTGGTTTAATTCTCTCACAATACACAGAACAACGTGTCAACTTCAACAGATCTTCAATAGAACTTGGAAAGGAATTCATCTCACACACCCACACACATGGAACTCATGGGCAGACGTGTGAGACAGGTGGAAACAGCAGACCCATGGATGGGATTACAAGCTACGGCAATCTTCAAGGTGAGCGAACACTTGTGACAGTCACTTTCCCAATTTCTTTCTCAGTTGACATTTATTTTTGGGAGAAAAACAAATGAAACTGGATCGTCCTGGCTTAACTTGTCTTCTAGTCAGTGTTTAGAAAATGTATCAGATATAGCTCCTATCCTGACTTATTTTTCTGCTGATAGAAAAGATAAAAGATACTATGGCATAAGGTAGCCACCAAAGGAACAGTTTTTGGCAAAAATACTTTTACCTACTAGGTCCAGAGTTTTGATTTTGAAGATACTGGGAAGTCAGCGTTCCAAACAAGACAGACCTGATGTCGAATTCATTCACTATTTAAATATTGGAAAAATTAGCACAAGCCATGTATCGTCACTAAAAAAAATATCATCCTCTGGGCAAAAAAAACCACTTCCTTTTAATCCTTTTCTGAAAACTATTTTTATTTTTTTATCTTATTTTTTTATGTTTTTAAAGTAATCTCTACGCCCAACGAAGGGCTAGACTCTCGACCCCGAGATTAGGAGCTGCATGCTCTGCGAACTAAGCCACCCAGGAGCCCCTCCTTGTAATCGTTTGAATTGCCACATTCTGTTCACTGTGCCTGAAAACACCTGTGGTTTCTATTTTCCTCTCCTTAACTTTTTATTACAAGAAGGTAATTACCCAAAGAGGGTAACTGTTAGTAGGTTAGAAAGCATTGCTTCATCAGCCAGTGCTTCTCAAATAAAAACACCACATTGTAGGGGGAAAATAGACATTTCACAAGATGGTAATACATCCTCATTTTATTAATACCCAGAATAACGACTCAACTGACAAGTTACTAAAAACAGGTAAAACCTTCTAAGTGGGTATGTCAAACTCAGTCAAGCTTGCCTTGCAGGGAAGCTTAAAACTATTAATTCCATGGCTGTTCAGAATATTCCCCTTCCTACAACCAAGGCTGTATTTTGTACGTAAAACTCAAAGGTGCCAAAAGGTGTCAAGGAGCAGACTATGAACACAGCCAGCTTGGAAAAGTCCATCCGCTACCCACGCCCATTTTAATTTTAAGAGGCTCAGGGCTATACCTTGGGTGCTCTCCATAAAAACACTGGCACAATCTGGCTGCCTTTTTCTTTTTTTTAATAAGCTCCTACCTTTTATGTCTTTAGGAGAAAGCTATTCCCTGAACTTGTAGCTCTAATACATTTTACTGTATCAGAAAACACAACATGTGGTATTAGTCACTGATGAATATAGCTCAAGACTTGAAAATAACCCCAACTTAAAAGTTAATTCTCTTCAGTTTCTAGAAAATGCATCCCACAGTCACGGTTTTAGAACAGATGGGGAAAATGATCACATGGAGGTAGGATTTCATCGAGAATGTGTCCTTCCATCTTACCCAAGAAAACTTGGCTGGGTCTTTAGACTTTAACCAAGACAACTGAGACTCACAAAGAAGTGAATGAGGAATCCCCGTGTCAGGGGTCTGCAGACGGTTCTAATTTGGCCCAAGAACACACTATGCAATCTCATTAATAGCATAAACCCTGTATTCTGATTAGTGTTCAATTATGCTCCTTATTGTTGGTTCCTCTGTCTCTGGTAGCAGCGCTTTCAGTAGATATTAATTCAAAAGGTTAGGACTGCTTAGTCAGGACGACAATGCTATCCTTCAAAGGAAGCGGGCCTAAGAAAAGGAAAATAAATGTTCAGGGAAACTGCAGAACTAAAAGGAAATGTCTGCTTACTGCAAGAATTTGTGTTAGGAAAAAGGAAACAAGATTTTTTAGGAAGCCTACCAAAATGTGCTTAAGCAAATAACTGCCCAAGGTACCTAGCACACAGCAATGGATCTGTTGAAACACCGAGTTTTTCTTTACCGTATTGAGAGAGGACAAGGAACACATCCGTGACAGCACGATGACATGGATTAAGAACTGAAAAGGTCCCCAAACCCTCTCAAGCTCCAACCTCCCCGGCTCACTGACAACAATGAGCAAGTTATCCCAGAGCATGGCCACTGCAAATACCTGCATCCTCTACGGATTTCTGAAGAGCTTCTGCTAATTCTTGGTCTGCAATCTCTTCTGGCCGCACATCCTCTCGCCCCGCCCCATACGCCAATCGGGCACACTCTGGTAACTCTCCCTCGGGCAGGAAGGTGGTCTGTGAGCCTGTCGTGCCGATCACGAGCACATTTTTCTTGAGGTCGATGGAACACTTAGAAGGAAGAAACCAAAGACGGATGATAGCGGATAAAACACCATGCAGAAAAGTTATCCTGAATTTAAATATTTAAGTTTTATTTAAGTATTTTTTAATGTTCGTTTATTTTTTAGAGAGAAAGAGAGTGAGCAAGTGAGCAGCAGAGGGGCAGAGAGAGACAGAGACAGAGAGACAGAATCCGAAACAGGCTCCAGGTTCTGAGCTGTTGGCACAGAGCCTGATGCAGGACTCAAACTCACAAACCAGGAGATCATGACCTGAGCTGAAGTCGGGTCAGAAGCTCAAAAGACTGAGCCACACAGGTGCCCCTAATATTTAAGTATTTTTTAATTTTTTTTTTTTTTTTTCAACTTTTATTTATTTTTGGGACAGAGAGAGACAGAGCATGAACGGGGGAGGGGCAGAGAGAGAGGAAGACACGGAATCGGAAACAGGCTCCAGGCTCTGAGCCATCAGCCCAGAGCCCGACGCGGGGCTCGAACTCACGGACCGCGAGATCGCGACCTGGCTGAAGTCGGACGCTTAACCAACTGCGCCACCCAGGCGCCCCAAAGTATTTTTTAAAACATTTAAAGTTTATAGCAGAATCAAAAAAAAAAGCTTATAGGAGAATCATCTTTATATGATGTAGTTTTATACATATTTGTCCAACCCAACCTCTGTTCATTTCTGAATTTAAATGTAATACACATCCACTGGACAAAATTGGGAAAAATGCCAAGCATAATCAGCAGCCCCACTTTTTAGAAATACAGAGATGATTTTTTCTTAAAAAAATGAGACATACCATTTATACACTCACATTACTATTTACATTGTGCTTACTGCACAAAGTACCAATCATCTCAAAAGTGGTATATGGGCAAGGCAATCTTTATTTTTTTTTCTTCTTATTTTTTTTAATACAGAGAGACGGAGACACCAACTCGGAAGAAAGCTCCAGGCTCTGAGCTGTCAGCACAGAACACACGAACTGTGAGATCATGACCTGAGCTGAAGTTGGACGCTTAACCAACGGAGCCACGCAGGCACCGCAAGGCAATCTTTATTTCGTACTTATAACTACCCTCCTTTTCTGTGTATTTTTCTAATTATTTAACATAGGACAGTACACACGTATGTGTTTTCTATCTGTAAAACTGAAGACTACTGGTCGATACCATGACTAAAAAATGGGGAGAGAGTGACAGGTTAATAAATTAGGTTTTATTAATACATGCATTCACTCACCCCTTCCACTTAAAATTCTGCACCTTGATTAGAATATTAATGCAACATATGTTTTATAGGATTTCGGTATTAGAACGAGTATTAATGACATAGGGGTACCTGGGTGGCTCAGTCCGTTAAACGTCCGATTCTTGATTTCAGTTCAGGTCATGATCTCATGGTTCATGAGATGAAGCCCTGAGTTCTGCTCTGCACTGACAGTGTGGAGCCTACTTAGGATTCTTTCTCCCTCTCTGCCCTTTCCCGCTCCTGCTCTCTTTCTCTCTCTCTCAAAATAAGTAAACATTAAAAAAAAAAAAAACAGTATTAGTGACATAAAAATATTGTCTAGATACGGGGGCGCCTGGGTGGCTCAGTCGGTTGGGCGCCCGACTTCGGCTCAGGTCATGATCTCATGGTCCGTGGTTCAGGGCCCGCGTCGGGCTCTGTGCTGACAGCTCAGAGCCTGGAGCCTGCTTCAGAATCTGTGTTTCCTTCTCTCTCTGTCCCTCCCCCACTCACGCTCTGTCTCTATCAAAAAATGAATAAATGTTAAAAAAAATTTTTTTTTTTAAATATTGCCTAGATACAAAACCTTGCTGGGAAAATTTTATCACCCAGTGGACACTAATTGCTTCTTCAATCAGAAGAGTTTATCTTTAAACAAATTACTAGATTTCAGAGTGGAAATACAAATATTGTAAATGAACATAGTTACAACTCATTCTCCCCATACTAAACAAACATTTCCACTGCCCGCATCTTATCTACACCTTCTTCTTTAAGCACTGACAAGCTGTGAAGGATGTACTAAACTTATACTAGCAGTAAAATCATCATGTGTTTTCTAGATCCCGCTACAAACCCATCAAAACTTACCTGAGTTCTAATCAGAAACTAAAAGTAACACAAGAGAACCAAGTTGCCCATTATACTCTCAAACAGATGGCGGGATTTAACAGATTCAGAGAGATTTCACAAGAAGAGATTCTATTTCTACTGATAAATCGTTTCAAACCATGTATGATGACATCCTTAATTAGGGACCTTTCCAAGTCTCAAAAGCCATGTCTTCTCAGTTTTCTAGTATATATAACCAAGAGAAATGATGCAATCATACCCATGTAACATACAAAACGTCAGTGCAGAAAGATAGTGAAGCACTTAATTACCTGATGCCGTTTCAGCATGTCCAGTCCCAGAAGCATGTCCATAGGCTGTTCCTCAAGGATAGAGAAAGAGCACGCCAGGAAATCTCCTTCAATTTGAACCTGAGCTAAAGCATATTAAGAGAAGGGATTGCGGATTTTTGCTTCAAAAGCCTCATGCAATCTTTGGAAAGATTGCATTCTGTGCCTTGCTTCTTGCAATCAGTCAAAGCCAAGGCAAAGCATGAAACAAGTGAGTTAAGTATGAAAATCCAGTGAACCCGGGGCACCTGGGTGGCGCAGTCGGTTAAGCGTCCGAC